CAGGTACTAGTAGATGAACAAGACAGAAGCAAAACAGCATTTACAACTAAGTATGGCTTGTATGAACATGTTAGATTATCCTTCGGTTTATGTAACAGCCCAGCCACTTTTAGTAGAGTTATCCAACAAGTTCTAAGGGGATTAACATGGCAAGAATGCTTAACATACTTAGATGATGTTATCATTTTAGGTAGTGATATGCTGTCCCATACTAGAAATCTTACTGCAGTTATTTCCAGGTTTGAAAAATACAATCTGAAACTCAACCCCAAAAGTGTGAATTATACCAAAGAGAAATCAAATTTCTAATTTTTAGACACAGATGCATCAGATAATTCAATTGGTGCTGAATTATGTCAAATACAAAATGGTAAAGAACAAATTGTAAGTTTTGCTAGCAAGGTATTAACACCAGCCCAAACAAAATATTGTACCACTCGAAAAGAACTCTTGGCAATTATTACATTTACAAGACAGTTCAGACATTTTTTTTGGGTAATACCTTTATTCTAAGAACCGACCATAATAGTTTGATATGGCTCTTAAATTTCAAAAACATTGAAGGTCAACTAGCAAGATGGACTGAGGAATTGTCACAATATAACATCATTTTACAACATAGACCAGGGAAAAACCATAGTAATGCAGATGCCCTTACCAGAATACCAGATAGTGTAGATCTTTGTAATGAATATAGACCTGGAATAGAATTGAGTCAATTACCTTGTGCTGGGGGCCATTTTTGCACTCGAGCAAAACAACAGTGGGCCACTTTCGAGAATGATATAGATTATGTTACTCCTTTAACAATAAGATCAGTTGACAGTGTTGATGAAATTGTTCTCGGGTTGTCAGATATTTTTGACCGTGAGGAATTAAACAAAAATCAAAGTGAAGATAGTGATATTTACAAGGTCAAGACTTGGATAGAGTCTGGGATAAAACCATCTCAGAAAGAGTTATCATTAAGTAATCCCAGTGTTAGATATCTTTGGTCAGGTGAATCTCAGATACACCTAAAAGATGGTCTTCTATATTATTTATGGGAAGATCATATTAGTCCAAGATATTTGTTTGTAGCTCCAAAAAATATGCAACCGGAAATATTGAAATATTGTCATGACTGCAAAACAGCAGGACATTTAGGTCAAACAAAGACTTATGAAAAATTGGAACAATGCTCAATTTGGTATGGTATGTCACAAGATTCCAAACTTTATGTTGAAAATTGTAGTGTATGTAACAAAAATAAAAAGCCCAAATTCAAAGCTAAGGCTGCTCTAGGTCAATATCATGCAGGTTATCCTCTTCATCGTGTACACATTGACATACTGGGGCCTCTTCCTGTAACCAAAAATGGAAATAAATACATCTTGATGATCATTGATCAATTTACTAAATGGTTAGAAATTGTCCCAATACCAAACCAAAATTCTGAAACAGTAGCAAAAGCTGTGGTTGATAATTTTATATCTCGGTATGATTGCCCTACAGAGTTACATTCTGACCAGGGTAAAAATGTTGATGGTGTACTTATACAAACATTGTGTCAGTTATTACAAATAGCTAAAACTAGGACAACACCGTACCATCCTCAGTCTAACGGTCAAGTTGAAAGATATAACCGTTTAGTACTACAGAGTATTCGACGTTATTTAAAAGACAAACAACATGAATGGGACCTCAATTTACAACAAATTGCAGGTGCTATTAGAGCTACTGAAAATAGACAAACTCAGTTTACACCAAACTTTATGTTTTTAGGAAGGGAGACAACCCAACCTATAGACTTGATACTTGGTACATACAACTTGAACAACTCTGAGAAAGAAATTCCTGAATACTTACAAGATTTGAGGTCTAATATTACAGAATGTCATCAAATTGCAAGAGAAAATATTTGTAAAGCCCAAAATAGACAAAAGCGATACTTTGATACCAATCTATACCAAAGTACATACAATGTAGGAGATGTCGTACTGAAAATTGATTCAGCTACGAAACTGGGTCAAAGTTCAAAATTAAAGTCTCCTTGGAAGGGTCCATATATCATAACTGAGGTCAAATCTCCTGTTTTATTTAAGATCATTGATAAGAAAAACAGAGAATCTGTAATACACCATGACCGTATTAAGCTCTGTAGAGATCTAGATCATCTCGGCTGGGTAAAAAGATTCAGGAATAAATTTTTCAATCAATGTGATTGGTCTTTGAAGCAGATTAATTGTCCTTCCTCAGCTACAACATCTGAATCTGATGCTGTGATATCAGATGTTGCAAACCTTTTTGTTAGGGATGATGCGTCGGATGTTCTGATGCATCATCAAAACCCCAGTACTGCTTCAAGTTCTCTTTCTATAGAAAAAGAACAGGTTAAAAGAGGTCAAAGGACACGACAAAGACCCCATTACCTATCTGATTATGTACAAGATTAAATTAGCAGAAGTGCATGTGAATTAATAACTAACATGTTTTATCAACTTAACTGTTTTTAATGTTATATATATAAATGAAAACAAAACAAAGAAACAAATAATTAAAAGATAAATTAACATTTTTTTTTAAAGTGTATATCTATTTCTTTTTACTGGTTTATATTAAGAGTAACTTGTATTAAATGTAAAGTACAATTGTTTTAGAAATGTCAGACTTAGGAGATCATTTTGTACCTGACTATGAAGAAGAACCTCTACCAAACCATATGCAAGGTTCCACTTTAGGTAAAAAAGGGAAAAAGTGCCCTGTTTGTAACCTGTTTTACACATGTCAGACGACATGTTATTCAAGAACATATTCCTTGGTTTCTTTATCCAAAGACATCATGTTGGACATTTGAATTAGGTTTTGGCCAGGAAAGGTTTTTGAGGCTACATACAGAAAAAGAACATTTTGATGATCCCACATACTGTAGATATGATACTAACATTCATGGTCAAATTTGGGTTGAAAAAATTATCTACTTTAATCAACAGATTCAACAAAGTAAATGTAAAACATTTTCTGCATGTTTAGGAACAATTTGGCAAGAAGATGACCTAGTACAAATAAAATATTACTTAGATACAACCCATCAACATCAGTCATTACCAAAGTCTCCTTATCCTGCTCAAAACTTTACAAGTTTGTTACACTGGAAAATACTCAGTATTCTGTTGGATATAAGCAGCCCTCCTGCTAGGTTCTACAAAATTGTGAATTTACAAAAAAGAAAGACATACTCATAATAGGATCCTCAATTATTCATTGGGCCCATCAAAGATCTATTGACATCCACTCTACCGACTTAGGTTTACAAAATTGAAACATTAAGTGGCATGGAAGAAGAGGCATGAAATGGTCTTCGCTTACAGAAACTCTTCTCTCTGCTACAAAAGATATAATCCCAAGCATTATTATAATTCATTTAGGATCTAATGACATCTCTTTTTCAAGTCCTCTTCCTCTCATAACCAAAATGAAAAATGGCATTTCTTTATACATGGAGAATTTTCCAGATACAATTTTTATGTATTCTGAACTGTTGTCTAGAAGAGTCTGGGGCAAAATTGAGGTCTGGGAGGGAGAAAACAAGAAAACCATAATCAATAGAGAATTAGAATCATTCATGGAAAGAAGGGGAGGGAAAGTGATATTTCATCAGAAAATTCATTGGAAAAACAGAACACTTTTTAGAAGAGACGGGGTACTTTTGACCGGAATTGGAAATGACATTTTACTATCAGACATCAAAGATGCTTTAAAAATGTTATGTTGATTTTATAGTGCAATTATTTGTAAAATTGTACATATTTGTACAGTATACTGCTTTTATATTTAAATGGCATTAAGTCGGATGTTCTGATTTGTGCCATATCCCGGGGCTTATTAAAACGGGGAGGAATGTAGCATTAAAGGTTTATAAAATAGTTCGGGTTCGGGATTCAAATATTTGATACGTCACAATCAGCTGATTTACTACCATATTAAGCCAGTTGTGATTATACCCTGGATTGACACAGACGTCTGACGACACTGTCCCGTCCGGAGTCCACAGCTCAGGTGGGTTGTAACTTATTTTACCCCTCACCATTTCACGAGTTATACTAACTACATAGATTTTATTTCCTTGTACTAACGCACTTCACAACAAATTAAGTACAGTGTATTCAATAAAACGTAAGTCACAGTTAGAAAAAAAATACATTTAGATGTATATTTATGTTCTTAAAAGCCGTAACGTTGGTCTCATTGTTTTAGTTCTAAATATTTTGTAAAGCATGTTTCCCATGTGTTAAAGGCAATCAAAAAAAAATATTCATATTTTTATTACATTTTGCGTTGTCTTCAGTGCAGAAATAAAATAACGCAAAATATAATGTAACAACGAAAAAGCACCTTATTACATTTTGCGTTGATCTCGTTGATCTCGACACAAAATTTATTACATTTGGCGTTGTAACAAACCATGTAGTAATGTTCAAGAAAAATCCATCACCTTTCCTTTCTGGTAAAGATATAAAATGGAGAGAATTCAAATAAAAAGCAAGGCAAAGAATTGAAACAAGCACCCCAAAAATGATCCGAGAATCGTAATCGTAAAAAAGCCGAACATTGAATGGGACAAAAATTTGTCCATTTTTTGACGAGTGAAATGTTTTATTGACATTTATAATTAGACAAATACCGGTATCTACACATTTAACTAATGTTGCATATAACAGTGACTTCAGAAGCTGGTAATATAATAAAAATAGGTATGTTAAAATTCCTCTTCGTATTTAAATTATCTTGGGAGATTAACAATGTGTTGTATTTACAAGAATTGAGTAAAAAGTAGAATTATCAAATGAATTTTTTTAGCTATTTTTTTTTTCTTTTTTAGATCTGAAGTATGCTATGATTGTCCATATATTGTAATAGATCCAGTATTTTCTTCAATTTTTTTATGAAACATTTTACTGAATTACTGACTCTTGCTAACCTCTGTAAAATATGTTTTTAAAAATCTCAAAAATACTTACCGTTGCTTTTAACAAAGTACAACCAATTTCTGTCGTAGAGAAAGTAAGGGTTTGTCGTCACCGAACTGTCCAAAAGGAGGCATGTTTGCAGTGAGTAGCTATACAAAAAGGCAAAACAAGAGGCCATTCCACAACAGTAGACACCGCATGATAGTTTACTCAACGATGTATTGAACGATATTTTGTAAGTTATGTTATTCCAATCAAAGTGTTTTATGATGTATTTCTGTTCAATCAGTAAAGAATCAAATATTTCAACGAGAATCAGCAAATATAATGCACATACTTTTCGTTGGAAAACCATGTTCACCAGGGTTATGATATACCTGTAAGAATGAGTTTCTTTTAGGATCTATGCATGACTGTGCAAAATATTTCTAAAATATCTGCGTACACTTTGAAGAATATTGATGCAATAACCACATAAGAGATGTTTACAATTATGAATAATTTAATCAATACAAACCTTCTTTTAAGTATTCTAGTGAATTTTAAGCATGTCGCCAATTAAACATCTCTAGAGAAAGAGGACAACAGAAAGTTGGTTTTTTTTAATTTGTTATAAATTATGCAATGAATTGACTTTCTAGATATTCCTATTCACAGTCTGTAAACCATATACAACTAAAACAAGAAAACATTGATGTAACCATCAATTGTCGCCCGGGAAATATATAAAGTAAACTGAAAATGAGTCTTGATCATCAAACCGCTTCGATATGTGTGAAAAGGCATGCGTCTAATTGATGGAGACGATAGTCGCGAATATTTTGAAAACTTATACTCGGATAATATCAAACAAAAACGATACCATTTTAAACTTGATCAATTCCTTGAGTAAATGTTGGCTGCTGTTGCCTCATCTGTTCGTCTGTTCATCTGTTAGTCAAGATGTCCCTCTATCCGTTAATCTATCCCTCATAGGTTTATGCATTATTTCTTCACGCATACAGATTAAGTTTATTTTTGGAACATGACTTAAGGATTTTATATACAGAATCCTGATATACATTTTAAAGGTAGACAATTATTCTCCTGAAATATTTCTGTCTCTTGAGTTAAAATTTGATTGCAGGAATTGATGCCGTTAACATAATTCATAATCTTTTTTCAGAAATTCAATTTTGTCTTCCTTCATATTTCAAATTTAAGTCCAACCTTGTGATTTTTATATTGATTGCTTCACGCTTTAAAATTAGAGTCCCTAGGTATCGAGTATAATAACAAGACGCCCACGGACCTTATAAGTCACCTGAATATCATGTAACAACTTTCAAACAATGGAATTTGGTTTGTGTTTTAAATCAGAGACCATGAAATTCTCAATTTTGAAAGAGGCACCGTTATTCATCATAATTATACATTTAGCATGCTTACTCTAGTTACCTTACACCCAGAGGTAGATCAGAGTAACAAAGAGAAAATGCATTTCCACTTTGTAACCAATTGTGCAAACGATCCCACAGGAACTGCATATTTCAAATTTTTGGAAATTTTATCATAAATTTTATTTCATCATAAATGAAGTATTAATACCAAAGAGCAGATTTCAAAGCATTAATTTAGACAATGTACCCCCCCCCCCCCGATATCCCTGACCCAGGGGGCATGACATTAACCATTTTGCTAGATGCACTTTTCTTCATCATTAATATTATATACTTAGATCATTGACATAATATCCAGGAGCCACGAAAAATATTTTCAAAGAATTCATGCATTTTCACTATATAATCATTAGAGCCCCGTCCTAACACCAGAACACCTGACCCACCCTAACAAAAAATACTATAGTTAACTATAGTTAACTATAGTTAAATATAGTGATAACTTTGAAACTTTGAAAACTTTGATTTACTATAGTGATAACTATGACACTTTGAAAAACTTTGACGAAAACTTTGACACTTTGAAAAACTTTGGCGAAAACTTTGACACTTTGAAAAACTTTGGTGAAAGCTTTGACACTTTAAAAAACTTTATCGAAAACTTTGACACTTTGAAAAACTTTGGCGAAAGCTTTGACACTTTAAAAACTTTATCAAGACTTTGATACTTAGAAAAAGTTTATCGTAAACTTTGATACTTTGAAAAAGTTTATCGAAAACTTTTATACTTTAAAAAACTTATTCAAAAACTTTGAAACTTTGAAAAACTTTATCGAAAACATTGACACTTTGAAAAACTTTATTGAAAACTTTGATACTTTGAAAAACTTTGGTGAAAGCTTTGACACTTTAAAAAACTTTATCGAAAACTTTGACACTTTGAAAAACTTTGGCAAAAGCTTTGACACTTTAAAAACTTTATCGAAAAATTTGATACTTAGAAAAAGTTTATCGTAAACTTTGATACTTTGAAAAAGTTTATCGAAAACTTTGATACTTTAAAAAACTTATTCAAAAACTTTGAAACTTTGAAAAACTTTATTGAAAACATTGACACTTTGAAAAACTTTATTGAAAACTTTGATACTTTGAAAAACTTTATCGAAAACTTTCACACTTTGAAAAACTTTATCGAAAACTTTGAAACTTTGAAAAAGTTTTAGGAAAACTTTGAAAAACTTTATTGAAAACTTTGACACCTTGAAAAACTTTGGCGAAAGCTTTGACACTTTAAAAACTTTATCGAAAACTTTGATACTTAGAAAAAGTTTATCGTAAACTTTGATACTTTGAAAAAGTTTATCGAAAACTTTGATACTTTAAAAAACTTTATCAAAAACTTTGACACCTTGAAAAACTTTGGCGAAAACTTTGACACTTTGAAAAACTTTGGCGAAAAATTTGACACTTTGAAAAACTTTATCGAAAACTTTGACACTTTGAAAAACTTTATCGAAACTTCGACACTTTGAAAAACTTTATCGAAAACTTTGAAACTTTGAAAAAATCGAAATCTTTGACACTTTGAAAAACTTTATCGAAAACTATGACACTTCAAAAAACTTTATCGAAAACTTTGATACTTTGAAAAACTTTATCAAAAACGTTTACACTTTGAAAAACTTTATTGAAAACTTTGATACTTTGAAAAACTTTATTGAAAACTTTGACACTTTGAAAAACTTTATCAAAAACTTTGAAAACTTTGGTGAAAACTTTGACACTTTGAAAAACTTTATTGAAAACTTTGACACCTTGAAAAACTTTGGCGAAAACTTTGACACTTTGAAAAACGTTGACAAAAACTTTGACACTTTGAAAAACTTTGGCGAAAACTTTGACACTTTGAAAAACTTTATTGAAAACTTTGACACTTTGAAAAACTTTATCAAAAACTTTGAAAACTTTGGTGAAAACTTTGACACTTTGAAAAACTTTATTGAAAACTTTGACACTTTGAAAAACTTTGGCGAAAACTTTGACACTTTGAAAAACTTTATCGAAAACTTTGACACTTTGAAAAACTTTATCGAAAACTTTGACACTTTGAAAAATTTTATTGAAATCTTGGACACTTTGAAAAACTTTGGCGAAAACTTTGACACTTTGAAAAGCTTTGGCGAAAACTTTGACACTTTGAAAAACTTTGGCGAAAACTTTGACACTTTGATTTACTATAGTTAACTATTGATTTACTATAGTTAACTATTGATTTACTATAGTTAACTATAGTCAACTATAGTTAACTATAGTCAACTATAGTATTTTTTTTTAGGGCAGGGGCAATGAAATTGACAATTTTGGAAGAGGCATCCTTCCTTCTCATAACTATGTTCATAATTTACTGGTTTAATACCCAGGAGCATTGAAGAAGATTTTCAAAGAATCAATGTATTTTCACTATATAATCAATAGAGTCAGAAACCCCAACCCAGGGGCCATAAAATTCACAATTTTGGAAGAAACACTCTTGTTTATCATAACTATATACTTAATTAGTTTGTTTAATACCCAGGAGCAAAGAAGAAGATTTTTAAAGAATTTATGCATTTTCACTACTGTAGATCACTTAATTTTCGCGACACCTTATTTTCGCGAGATAGTCATTGACTCTTTATTAGCGAGACAAAATTTTCACGAATCGTGGTCATTGCGCTAAATAATCTTAAGGAATGCTATTATACGCGAGAATTAAATTTTCGCGAGCATACTGTCTAGCGTAATTACGCGAAAATAAAGTTCTCGCGAATAAAAAGTGATTTACAGTATCTAATCAATAGAGCCCCGCCTTAACTCCAGAATCCCTGACCCAGGGGCCATAAAATTCACAATTTTTGAAGAGGTACTCTTGGTCATCATAACTATGTACTTAGTTATTTTGTTTAATGCCCAGGAGTAGAGGAGAAGATTTTCAAAGAATTATATATTTTTACTATATAATCAATAGAGCTCCACCCTGACATCAGAACCCCTGCCCCAGGGCCATGAAATTCACAATTTTTGAAGAGGCACTCTTGGTCATTGTAACTATGTACTTGGTTAGTTTGTTTAATACCCAGGAGCAGAGGAGAAGATTTTCAAAGAAATAATGAACTTTTACTATATGATCTATATAGCCCCACCCTGACACCATGGCCCCTGACCCAGGGGCCATGAATTTCACAATTTTGGTAGAGAACTGCATGTTAATTACAATCATGCCAACAGTTTGACTGCTTGATGTCCAGGAGTAAAAAAGAAGATTTTTAAAGATTGCACTAATTTCAGTAGTTTTGGCCCCACCCCTCAGGCCCCAGGCGGGGGGCAGAAACCATTAAAATCACAAATTGTGTTTCCCTTAAAACATACATGCTGTATACCAAATTTAGTTGAAATTGGTTTTATGGTTCCAGGGAAAAAGCTAAAAATGTTCAAAAGTTTACGACAGACGAACGACGTACGACGTACGACGACGGACGAAAACAGATAGTTATAGATCACCTGACTTTACTCAGGTGACCTAAAACCAAAGAACTAAGACAGTACTGAGAGACGGGGTCAAAATTATCTTCATGCTAGATTTCACAAAATATGATTTTTTAACAAGTTCTGATCAAAAACACTAAAAAAACAAAACTGTGTATACTATATCTTCACGTTTTTCAGTTACTTTGAAGTAGAAAATTCAATAATTGCTAAGTCTAGATACCTTCATGAATTGCCCGAATTAATATTTTTCCATAAGTAAACAATGGATGATGCGTACGCAGTCGTTATCATACGCAGGAGAGTACTTTGTTCACTAGTGTGATTAACTTAAATTTTCAAAATGCTTCATTAATTTGAGTTTTAAAAAAGTTCATATAACTTTCTTCAGTTTCATACAGAATGTTTTTATTTTAATCAAAACAATTTCTGCACGCTTTCATATAGCTTAGATTTAATTCATGTGTTCTCTAAACGGCTTCCGTTTTGCTCGACTAACAATAATCATATAGACTGGGTCACGTGACCCAGTCTTAAAAGCATCCTTCATCTTATCTTCCTATAGTCAAATGGTGAAAATGAAAATATCGATTGATCTGAAAACAATATAAATCTTTACAGAGGACATGAAACATGGACCACTAGAAATTCCAGTGGTGGGATCAGGTGCCTAAGAGGAGTGAACGATCCCTTCACATATAGTCCAACTCACCATGACGTAAGTGACAACGTGATTTTTTTTCTGTATGTGTACTATAAAAAGTCGATTTCATATTTTAGCGGAGATGGCGCGGAAAACAATGCGCTCATTTATTAATACCATTAATAAAAATATCAAATATACACAAAGACAAAACCAAATGTGTGTAGCGCTAATTCATGATTACGCCAACCAACCAATACCCAGTGATTGCGCTAAATTTTGAATACGTTAATTTATGGACACAAATAGTAGATAATATTAGAGACCTGAATCTACTTATTTTAGAAGGGCCGACAATCTATTTAATTGGCGACCAAACTTCATAAATGTAATTAATAGTGTTGAAGATTATACAATACAATGAACCAAAGACCAAGCATCCTTCTCTCTGTTATATTGTTGACGTGAATAAAAAAAGTAGTAATATGTTCCAGCCTCAGATGAACCAGGAGGTAACAGCTTAGCCTGTTCATAAGTGTAATTAATGGAATCCCTTTTTAGCAGAATTTGGGTTAAGTGTAACTGGTAAAATGACTTTTATTCAAGCTCCCTTTCTGAAAAAAGGATATTCTTTAAAATCACTTTTGGCTTTAAAAGTTTAAACATTTTTGAGACTCCAAACAAGAAGTTGAAATTGAATATATCATGCCTATAGTGGATTCATTAAATCTGAAAAAAAGTCGTTAAACATTCTTACAGGACAAGAAAAAAGAAATAAAACAGTAAAAAGTTAAACGGTTATACTTATATACTTCTAACTCTAACAAGTATTCTAAGAGTGTTGAATAAGCAAAACTATGTATTCCCCTATCGGCAACTCATACCTGGTTCCCATTATAAATTTATTAAAAATGTAATTTTACACAAAAATCATTAAGTGGAAATTTTTTTACTTGATCTTTAACTCATCAAGATACAATCAGGTACCCGAAATCAGCCCAATACTCTGCATTACGCAAGACTCAGAAGAAAGCTACAGTCCCCTCCGGTTTCACTGCAATTAAATAGTAAATGAAAGAATCGTTCGTTGTTGTCTATTGAAAACATTACAACAGAAACTCGAAAATTTTAATCTATCTTGCTGCTTTGTTAATACAAAATTTAAATGACCGTTATATTTAATGACACACGTTTATATTAAAGTTCCTATTTACTTTTTTGGTTGCCTGTTTTCTGAATGAAAAGATTGCTCATTTACCAAACTCAGTGAAGCAGAAAATTTCATTGACGAAAATCAAATTCAAAATTGATTTCAGAAAATGAAAAGGATATAAACATTTAGTATCAGAAATTAAGCACACCTTTCTAAAAATAGTCTTCTTAATTCATAAATATCAAACGCCCACGTAAAAATAGGACCATGGCATGTCAAACTTTCTAAATGACAAGAAAAAATATCCTTTCAGGAATTTTCATTGGAAGAAAAAAAGATCAAAGACAGATTAAAAAAAGAAACAGAATTCGAAAGTATTATTCATCCGATTCTTATTCCACCAATGAGAAAACTCAGATTATATTGATACAATTCATTTTCATCAAGAATTTTCATAACGATACTTTCGAGAAAAAAATCCTTCATTTTTTGTTCTCTTCGCGACGCATATAAAGTAAATTTCGAAAAATAGAGGTAAAAACACCAAAATGCAACTTTCCTGTAAACGCTTTTTACTACTTTTGCAAAGAAAACTCAAATTCCAGTTATAAATTTTATTCGAAATGCACTAAACTGTACAATTTGTATCTATTCTAACAATTTTAATTATACTTTTTAGGGACAGTCATTTATGTGAGAGTCACATCTCAAATACAATTCACCATTGCCAACCAATTTTTTCCAACTGTCCATAACAAAAGAAACTGTTCAGATGTCTTACAGATTATGCCATTTGATTCACTCGATGCAAAAACTCACGTCTGCAGCCGGCATCTTACACTAAGCAGATCAACATTTCCCTGTTCCAGCTCGTCAGATGCGACGGTGAATTTTCGCGCAATGTTCGGTGCCCTTCTTCGAAAAAGTTTGAAGACCCAACAGCAATCATTTCAAACGTTCCAAAAATATGTAAGTCAATATTATCCTGGATATTTAATAAATATAAAAATGAGTATGTTTTAGGTTAATTTACGGTATACTTGATTTTAAATATTGCAAATACATTTCTGCTTTATAACTGTATAGTTTTCCCCCGATATACATGTAACAGGCTATTCTTAAACTCATATATTTTCGCAGTTCAAATTTCCGAGAAAAAAAAACCGTTTGCAGAGATTCGAATACTGGGCTGTACTGTTTTTATTAAGATTTTGTCGAGAACATACATTCAAGGGCCATATCATATCACGGAATTAATTAAATCCATTGAAAAAAAGAAATTTTGTAGTTAATCAGTAACATTAATTGACGAAGAATAAGACTTCAAAGAAGATACTGCAGATAATAAATTTGGACGTAGGGACTTCAATGTTGTTACGCCTTAGATTGTTATAAAAAGAGGTATATGTCCAATTTTTCAGCTAAGAATACGTACACCTTATGTAACAGACTGGTCCTTATTTTCAATGAGACCTTGCCTAAGAATTCGAAAACGATGCTCAGAATGCAGTTCCATGAATCAAGTAAGTGCAATTTATGTATGTTGTTGATTCTTAAGCATATAACAGGTTGAAAATATAACAATATAACATGTTGTAAATTATTTTGATTTACTTTGGAAAATGTAAAATATTTAGCATGATGTAATTAATTGTGTACATATACAGTAAAACACGATTACGCATTTTTTAAACTGTTTTAAAATGTTATGAAAAATAAGAAAATAAGTTTATTAGGAATCAAACTAGTTAACAGTATGGCCTTTTCCTTTAAAAAAGTTTTTCACTGGTATTGCTTTTTATATACTTTTTTTGCTATGAATCCAAAATATTTTGAGGAAAAATGATAATTTGATCCATGTTATTGTTTCTTCACATTGTTGTAGGCCACGGATCTACATGAAGATTTTGAAACTTTTGTAACAATATCAGAAGTGATCGGTAGCATCATTCAGGAAGATATCAAAGTCTCCACTCAAGAACTGGAAATAGTAGTATCCTTGAGGCATCTACCAAGCAATTATTGTGTGAAATACATACATTTCTTCTGTCTGGAACAAATAACATCGGGGATGGATTTATAAATGACGTAATCAAATCTAACGACTGGTGTGTTTTCAGTTCCATTTCATCTAGGTATGAGAGGGATATATATCTGTTGCGACAAATTGCCAGTATATCGTCTAGAATATATAACAGATACAAAACTGTATTCTTATAAAATATTGTAAAACGTATTAAATTACCTATGAAATGATTGATCGGTTGTCAATAAAATGGTACTTTACTGTATCATTTTCTATGCTAACCATCTAGTTACAGTCATTTCAACATTAAATATTTCGGCTTTGTTTATAAGCAAGATGCATAAGATGCATTTTGTTGACATGTGACGAAGTTTTTTTTTTGATTTATGATTTATATAGAATAAATATTCTTCTGCGATTTCATTTTCCTTTTTCTGGTTTAAAGTGCCAAAAAGGCTAAAGTTTTAGATTTAATGAATGTGTGCAATTAACAACGAAATATAGAACCTTGGATAAAAGCCTTGCAAATACTTTATTTTGACCACTACGGAAGAATTTACAGTTCATTGGTACGATGAACCAAACGATTATTAAATAAGATTAACAAAACCATTTGTATCGACCTAGTGAAAGGCGACTAGCTGTTGTACAAGATTACGGTCCTTATAAATACAGGGGTAATACAGGCTCAAGGTCGTAGCAAGGAAACATTCTGAACACGATATTTCCAGTACTAAAGATGCTAGTGAACTTCAATCGTAATTTTAAAAATGGTTCAGAATCCGACACAGTGATAGAGAAAATGTGAAACATCGAACACAGTGCAACTTTACAATGAAATGGCTGTGAGGAGTCCTGTGAATTTCAAGCAAAAAATAATAGTTTCCTTTACAATTAAAAAACAAGTGCATAGGAGAAAATATCTGAAGAAATTTCTAAAAAAGCCAAAATGTAAAGATGAAAATTACACAAAAAATAAAAAAAACAGTTTTGATGCTAGACTTAAATAATAAAATGCGAGCAAAAGTTGTTGCTGAGGGTAAACTTGACTCCTAATTCCCCAAGGACACTGATATCAGAGAACATTATTTAAGGTAAAGAGGGGATACAAAATAAGAAAAAAAATATAGGAAAATTGAAGTGATTTATCAATAAACTTGACTCTCTGTGCATAAACCCTAAACAATATTGGAAACTGCCGGTAGTAAATGATTTAAGATACTAGTATTCTATCCCTAATAGCAACAGATTCAATGAAATTGTATAAACATATCAGATTAGTAGGTGTTAAATACACAGTATATTCAGACATAATTCCCATTTATTACTATTTATCATGTAAGGGTGTGATGTGTCCTAATTATGACCTTGAATTTTTGATTATTAAAAAAATAAAAAAATTAAATTAAAAAAAAATTTATCTGGTAAAAAAAATTGTTTTCAGTTGTTTTTCTATATCTATCCACAAGTACCTGTGGTCAGTATGTCCAAAAAGTATCTTTCCCGATACCGATAGAGTTAGACAGGCCCACTGCTCCTCAATATAATCTGGGAAAATGACCATTTTCCACGAAGATTTAAAGATTTATACCTTGTCATTTTGGTATGCTTTGAACATGAGTGAAATAACAATGTTACATAGTATTTTCTTTTATGGGCTGCTATAACAAAGTTCAGAGGACTAGAAGAGTTATCCCACGTTGTCTAAAACCAAGTACATTTCCCAAACAAACGGATATAATGTCTATAACCTTACAATAACGGATATTAGAGAGGTGACATTTGATTCTAACGTCTCGGGTACAAATCTCACTGCGTAATGTGGAGAGCAGTAAGTTTGATGACATATATACTTTAATTAATCACATTTCACGTATTTCTGGCACAAAAAAAGATCCCTCACTGCATATTCAACAGTTGCTCAATGGATTTATGAGCCGAGTATAGTTAAAAATTAATTTGCAGGTCGCCACCGGCAAGTGGTGGCGTTTTGATGAGAGGGACCTTCATCCACAAAAAAACAGACAAAGAAACAAAATAACGACTCAAATTTTGAAAAAGAAAAAGTTTTCTTTCCTATCAGATATTTGGAACGTACCAAAAAATTTAATATAACTTTCCTAGAGATATTGTTTTTAAAAAAAACACACATGCCTTAATTTATGATAGCTCACTGGCCAATAAAAATCAAATTTTATGGTTGAAAGCTACTGCAGTAGAATAAATAATATGATAAAAATATAAGACTTTTTAAACATTTATGTTTCCTATTCATATAAGAACAAGATCAAACTATCAAAAATATGAAATACAGCAGATGGTACTATTCAATTTCAGAAAATAGGTCCTCCGCTTTAAAGTTGAATGGTTTGCGTCGGATTGATTAATGACATTTTTGTAACTATGTTGTCTGTCCTTAATTTTTACAAGTATACGAGGGTTGATCCAAAAGTTCGTGGAATTTCTTTCTAAAATTTTATCGTGATTTGATGAAATCAATCAACAGGCATATTCATAATATAGAACAAAATGCACATTGAAAAATTTCACTACTTTCCTATTACCAATAAGGTCACACGAGCTTTAAAATGGAATAAACCCGTTCACTGGTTAGATATGTCACGTCAACTTAAAAATGTCCAATTTTAATACGTTTTATGCTGCCCTTTTCTCCATTTTTTTTTTCTCAAGAAAAGCTACTGCCAACTTATCTTCATTTTTTTACTCATATTTCAAAATACTAACCATCTTTCCATATGATGTTCCAATTTCAGTAGCAATGTCGAGAACAGTAATTAACGCTGTTAAAAATATAAAAAAGAGCGTCTAAAAACTTTTTAAACATTTATTTTTCTTAAATTTCTTATGCCAAGAAAACAAGTAACTTAATGCATTTTTCCCAAGCTATGTCAAAATATATGATAGATGAATCCCGGGATACAAAACGTATGACTTGACCGAAATTTGACGTTATCTAACAACTTAAAGATGAGCAATAAATCAACAACTTATAAACTAAATATCCAGTGAACTCAGTAAAACTCTCACACAAAGGTTTATAAGTTGAATAATGACATAATTTGAAAATTTGGCATTTCCAAACAACCGTTTCTATGGCAACTGCCATAAAGGTACTATGGCATTTTTGTTTTTTAATTTAAAATATTCTGTGTTATATTTTCATTTGTAATTTTCAACATTCCACTGAATTAAATAAAATATACCAAACTTTTGTATATGTTCTGTTGCTAAAGTTACCACCAATCGGAACAATATCTGTCAATCTGTTTTATTATAACCTATGTTAGTCATCTTATTAACTGTGTAAAATCAGTTTGTTTGGTCATAAACAATCTACGTAATTTCATAGAAACGTCATACATAATTAGTGATCGACATTTTCAACCCATTCAATTTTTATCGTTGAGGATAGAAAATAATAATGCATATTTGGCCCTAATGGGTTAAAAACTATAGAACACAACTATTTTTAAGAAATCACCCACAGATGTAAAAATATTAAAATAAGTTATGTTTTTTTTTTCAATATTAGGCTTTCAATCGGCAATCCTCGACATCCTCCGCCATACTCCATTCAAACCTAGGATGTGATTGGTGGAGGAATACGCATCAGCTCGATACATTTCTACGCCAGAAACTGCCTTTTCACTCATTTCATATTTTGCACTGCGTTCTTAACTGGGGGGGGGGGGGGAGGGAGGTCAACAAATTGACCAACAGATTTTAACTTACTTTTAAGATATGATATCTTAAGCTGTCAACTATCATTTGACAAATAAAAATTTCATACATTTTAGTTTTAAAATTTGATTATTCTTTATCTCTTTATGTGAAGCTCTTCTTCTAAAGGGGGTCAAAATAGTCTGAAAATGGCAACAACCCCCAGCCCCTTTAAAAAAGGTTTCTTAATTTTGTGTAATTCTTCACTGTAAAAAAGATTTCGATTGCAACATTATGTTAGTAGGTTTGAAAGCAAAGTTTTGAGCGCGCCACAAAATAATGTACATTGTATGAAAAAAAGTATAATGACATTTGAACGAAATTCAAATAAGATCACATGTCTAAACCAGCAAGATGGTAGAACACCTTTGACGTCCGAGGTTATGTGCGAGTATCGGGCTTTATTATAATTAGATGTGATCACATGACCTCTGTTTGCATCCGATAAAACTTAAATTAAATTCTTCATTATACATGTTCGTGAATTTACATACAGCTCCTTTTGCAGCAAACTCAGCTCCTCATATTGCTCTTTCTTTCTTTATCAATCTCTCAACAAATAGTTCTGATAAATTTTTAATCTAAGAACGACCTTTCATTCTCAAAGCATGCCAATGATATGTCAATATTTCAGACGATAAATATGGTGCGCTGAGAGCGGAAATTAAAGCGTTTAATCATCGATTTCTGTGTGAACGTAAACTAATAAACGTGCCTTCTGAGATAACATCACAAAACAATAATATTTAAATGTCATTCTTTATGGTTTTGGCAAGGATCAGTACACGTAGCTGCATTATAAACTGTAACTTTCTGGTTAAAAAAATGGGTAGGCAACTCTTTCCTATGTCAGAATTCTCTCAACTAAAAGTTGCTTTGTGCATCTCTGCGGCTGTAGTCCTTCAATAAGGGAAACAATACCAATTATATTGTCATTTCTGCCCAGTTTATTTATTTTTTCCATTTGCCAACATTTTTGTTCTTTTTAAAATTCGCCAGATTGCGACTAGGACAAAATTTTATTGGAAAACGGTACCATCCACTAGTACTTTATTTCTTTTCCTTAAAAAATAATGAAGTGCAAGAAAACAAAATAGAACATATTTCAAATTTTGCATGGCATTTGAAGTATTCATTTTTGTATATTTTCAGGCAATATTATACATGTATTGTCTGGTTTCATCGGCAACATATTAATAAGTGTTACCGTTGGACTATATAAAACGAATTTTACCTGAGAATACAGTCAATAAATGTTTTGTTTTACATTTTTTTTTGTCTTACGTGTATCTTGTGCTGTCTCTTGTGATTGTAAACTTCCTTTACCAACACTGATGTTAAAACTTGATCATTGTCTAACACCAACGAACACAAATGAGATTAACTGATCCCGCCCGTGATCTGAAGTACCTAGCGGTTTATGAAATATGCAGAGATCTCGAATAACGTTCAAGCTCGAATATTAAACATTACAAAATAGGGTAGTAGAGCAAATCCGTACAGACCTCAAAAACATCAGAGGTGGGATCAGGTGCCATGGATCAAGGAGTGAGCATCCCCTTCCGATCGGTCACATCAGTCGTGTGCCCATTGTCATGTTCGGGATATAACGGTAAAATCGTCGACAATTCGGTGTGTAAATAATGGCTTAACAATTAATATGAAAAACATCAGTCAACATTTGACTTGATAGATTGAATTGCCGACAAGGTCATCATATCAACCTTGGAACTTACGAAATGATGACTTTAAACGAGACTGATGATATTCTTGCTTCATAACTTGTTTGTCATTAACTTACATCGTTTAAGAGATTGTTCATATTTAAAACATGCTCTTCTGTATCGAATCAAAGGAGAGAAGTAAGCTCCGTATGTAGGTGACAATTTAAGGGTATATCTCATCGACAGGTCTAATATCTTAGTCCTTGGTCTAACATTGCTTTTTATTGCTTTTTATGACCTCTCAATAAAACATTAGAAATGATAGTCAATTTAAATAAGATTTTTTTTTAAAGATATAACAACCAAATTCAATCAGAGTACACATTTATTATAGCCAGCGTCGCGATCTCAATAGACAAACGTGTAAGAACAAAGGAAATTTGGAATGAAATTTGTACGTACGTCATGTAAATTTTTGTGTGAAACCTTCTCAAAATTCCTTTGCTACCAGGATTCAATGCGATAATGGCGAATAAATAAATTAATTAAATAAAAGGTCTTTGGATTTTAAAAATCTCAAAAGCAATAGGAAAATACTCTTCAACTTCTTTCGTCAAAAATTGCACTAGGTCTATAGTTTCAACCAGACGCTCGGCTGTCTCCGTAAGCTCCGACGAGCTCTGTTACGTCATGTGACTTCACAGCTAGTTGTGATGTGCGACTTGATGTTTGAAGTAGCTGATCAATGTTTCAAGTCGTATTTTTGATGGTATAACTGCGCTCGCCCCAACGGGCACACCGTATAAGCAAAACATATTATATATAATGTATATCACTCAATTTTACTGTTGATTTTATGCAATCACACGACGTCGTGATCCGACTTTCCGGATCACCACACTGTGGGTTTCTAAATCCATACCCAATCTCCCCTCTCTGACTGATGACGTAGTACGTAGAAACATGACGTAATTTTTCGAGCTCGTTAAAAAGTCCCTTGTTCATATACCCCCTTATAACTAGCTAAATGTAGCAAAATAAAACTTTAGAGACCAATTGTATAATATTTATCCATAAAACAAACCATAATAACAAGGGACATTTAACGTCATGTTTCTGCGTACTACATCACCAGTTTCAGAGAGTGGTGATATGGATTCAGAATCCGGAAAGTCGGATAACGACGTCACGTAATAGCGTAAAATCAACTGTAAAATTGAGTGATACACATTAGTTATATAATAAATGTAGTTACAATCATATTGAAATATGATATAGGAAATTCATCCTATGAAATAGGATATTTGAATAAAAAAATTCTTGCGTTTTTTTATTAACAAACAATACAACAATCGTTTTTCTTTAACAAACAAAACAATAACAAACAAGACAATAAAATTTCTTGTGGAAATATTACAATTTATATGTTACAATGTGTGTGTGTGATATCTCTGAAATGAATCAGAAGTGAAAATGTTTACCCAGACTAACATTTTAAAAACAGATGTTTTAATATATCCATCGACAAAAAATGCACATATAATTTTATGTCTTATAGATATACACATAAAACTCGCTACGATAACACAAAAACAATTAAGACAGAATATCAACTTCAGTAGCTAGAATTTACGTTCGGTAAGAATATCAAATTTTAATACGTTCGGTAGCTATACCTTTTTTAAAAAATGTACAATCTGTTCAATGCTGAAAAAGAATATCTTTTTTGTAATTCTACGATTTCAGATCATCTACATGAAAATATTTATGAAAAGAAGCATTCAATGAGAATACTTTGTAATGCTTAACCTTATATACGTAGATAAAAAAATCTAGACAACTAGTGTAACAGAGAGAGAGAGAGAGAGAGAGAGAAAGAAAGAGAGAGATAGAGAGAGGATAAATCTTACTCAGCGTTGGTAGAAACTTCCAAAAGAAAATTAACAGTTTTACTTTGTCATTTCATTCATACAAATTACCGGTAACTCTTTCACCCTCATTTTACAAAAAGTAAAAAATCAGGAAAAACCACAACTTCAACTCGTATTCAGAGAAACATGTACAATGTAAAAGAAACAAGTTCATCACTTCCATGGTCCAATAATAAACTGTTTGTAATCTTTTTTGCTCATACTTGATACTGTTTTTCTTAAAGTCTGGTCCATATTTTTCAGAGGAGCATTCATTCTTCCGTGATTAGCTGTTCGTCTCGGCTCAACTGCGCTGTTTGAAAGTGGACAATTCATCTTGTGGTCACTTATAACACTTATCCCTGAATCGGACGAAAAACTAAATTTTGTGTCCGATTTCCAAAATCTTTTTGTCGTCTCGTTATTTCTCCAGTCCATATATCTCGGCCCAACATCGTTGGTTCTTGGAGATTTAAACTGAAAGGGCACGTCGTCACTTTGAAAGGCCTTTTCCGACGTTGAAATATAATGAGCACGATCTGGTGATGGTGTTCTTTTAACATTTGGAGCCAATGGTTTGCTGCTGTTTTCAATCCATGGTTTGCTATCATTTGTAGGTGATGGTTTGCGATTTTGCATTTTGACTGAATTACTGCCATTCAAGGCAAAGGATGGGCTACCGTTTGAAGAGAATGGTTTACCAATGAAAGTGGCACATGGTGGGCTATTGTTTGTATAGAATGGTCTACTAGTGGCACATGGTGGGCTGCTGTTTATAATAGATGGATTGTTGCCATTGTTTGTGTCAAATGGCGTGCTACTGTTTGTAGCAAATGGTGTACTTCCGTTTTTAGCCATTTGCTCGCTGCGGTTTGCGGAAAGTGGTGTGCTACTGCTTGTAGCATTTGATGTGCTGCCTAATGGTTTTCTATCATTTGTAGGTTTTGAGTTTATGTCTCTTGTAGCAGATGATGAGCTATTGTTTGTAACAGCTGGTTTGTTTCGGTTTGAGAAGCTAATATTAGTATCAGGTGGTTTGCTATTGTTTGCGAAAGATGGTGTGTAACCGCTTGTACCACGTGGATTGCCATTTTTAGCCATTGGTTTGTTGTTGTCGTCTGTAGTTAATAATGGATGAACTTGTGGCGTCAATGGATTGCGTCCATTTTTGTTGAATGATGGGACCCCGTTCGTTGCAACTGCTGGGTTGTGGTTTTTAGACACCGGATTAATTTCTTGTGGTGTCAATGACTTGTTATTGTTAATAGGAAATGTATTATTGTCGGATTTAGCTACTTGTATGGGACTGTTTGTCGGTAAATGTTTACTACCGTTTTCAGCAGATCGTGAGCTAGTGTTCAAGGCATATGGGGCACTGTCTTTTGAAAACAAAGGATTACTTTCATCTGACAGTTTTCTATTGTTTGTAATATTCTGTTGATTCTCTTTTGGCGCATACGATGTGCCACTATTTGGATTAAATGAAGTTCTACCGTTTTCGGCATATGGCATGTTTCTCTTTGCAACATATGCCGTGTTACTGTTAGGAAATGAAGTTCTTCCATAGGTGTCGTATGGCAAGTTACCATTTGTAGCATTTGAGGTGTTACCCTTTGAAGTAACGGGGGGGTTTTGGTTTGTACCATCATATGCTGTGGTATTGTTTGAAGCATGTAATGGATTACTATTTGTAGCATAGGGTTTGTCACTCTTTATTGTACATGGTTGAGCACTGTTAACATGAAATGATGTGTTACCATTTGTAGCAAAGGGTATGTTTCTGTTCGCACCATTTGGACTGTTACTGTTTCCATCAAATGGCGTGTTCTCGTTGGTGGCATTTGGCACCCATGTGTGTCTCGGTATTGCAGTGCCTTTGTTTGCATCGAAGTATGTGCTACCAGTTGATGCCATTGGTTTGTTATTGTTTTGTGCAAATGGTGTGCTTGTTCTAGTATATTGAAAGTTATCATCTGTACCAAAGGGTATGGCTTGGTTTGTAGCATTTGGTTCCGCGCTACCATTTGTGGATTGTGGTATATTTTCATTTACATCAATGGGTGTGTTTTCATTTGTACCAATTGGTATATTTTCCATTGAAGCGTTTGATATGTTTTCCTTTGCAGCATTTTGTAATCTTCCATTTGCACCATATGCTGTATACTTATTAGAAGTATGTCTTTGAATATGTGAAGCATCAGATTTTTCATTTGCTTTCATAGCAAATTGAGTTCTTTTGTTTGTAACATATGGTGTGTTACCACTTGTGGGTTCTTGCCTGTAACCAGTTCCACCAAATGGCGTGTTTTCTGTTCTAGCGAAAGATGTGTGTTGATTGATAGTCGAAAAATTGCGACCATTTGTATCAATTTGGTCGCTACCGTCAGTTGCAAACGATGAATGACGATCTGAATTTGGTATGCAGTTATTTGTATCAAATGGTGTCATACTGTTCGTAGCAATTGAAGTGCCTCTGTTTGAACCAAATGATTTAGAATCGTTTGGTGAAATGTGCTTGCTATCATTTATGGCACTTGGAATGACTTCTATTGAAGCGCTATCGTTTGCAGCAGCTGTCTTGCTATGGTTTGCGGCCGTTCTGCCATTTGTATATTGTTGTGAGTAATCGAAAGAATTTGATGTCTTACCATTCTCATTAAACATTTTGCTTTCGTTTGTAGCATATGATGAGTCATTTCTTGTTACCATTGATCTGATTTGGTTTGAAGCAAAGTTTGCTCTGCTATTTGTAGCATATGGCGTGTCACTATTGGTAGCAGATGGAGTGTTTTCGTTTGTAGCGAATGATATGCTTCCGTTTTTCGCTACTGGTGTCCCCTGGTTCGTGGCAAATTGTGGTCTATCATTTGAAGCATATGGCGTATCACCGTCTAAAACCGTTGGATTGCTATTATTTGAAGTAAGCAACCTGCTTCCATTTTTCGAATATAAAATTCCATTGGTTGTAGTCGTTTGGTTTGATGCATATTGACTACTGCTATTTGTAGCATAGGGTGTGGAACCGTTTGTAGTCGAGGGTATATTATGGATTGCAACAAACGACGTACTTTCTTCTTCTGCGTATGAAGTGCTTCTGTTTGTAACCACCGGTCTGCTTCCATTTGAAGCAAACTGTGTGCTAAAGTTTATAGCATTTGGTGTGTTAGTGTTCGTAGCTGGTGGTTTGTTATCGTATGTAGCATATGACACACTTCCATTTGAAGCGTTTGATGTACCATTGATATTATATATTGGTCTGCTTCCGTTTATGTCATATTGTGTACTACCATTTGTAGCTAATGGTCTTGTATCATTTGTAGCAGATGGCACTCTATCCTTATTGTGTGAGGAAAATAGAGAGCCTCCATTTGCATCAAATGTGTTAGGGTGATTTGATATAATTTGGTATGAATCAAGCTGTGTGCTCTCTCCTGAGGATAATGATCTGTTATGGTCTGGGGAAAATTGGATAGTACCATTAGCAGCTTGTGGTGTGCTTCCATCTGAGGTATTTGGTATCCTGTCGTCTGTACAAGAGTACGTACTTTCGTTTGTTGCCAGTGATATGTCATGTTTCGTAGACTGTGAGCTGCTTTGATTTGAGACATACTGTGTGTTGCCATTACCCACATATGTTGCCTTTGCGTTTGAAGCAGATTGAATGTTATTGTTTGCAGCCAAAGACGTACTTTCTTTTGTAACAGAGGTCCTGTGGTCGTTCGTTGTATATGATCTGCTGTTGTTTGTTGCATTTAACGTATTATCGTTTGTAGAAACTGATTCACCGAGCTTTGGGGCAAATCGTATGCTGCCATTTGTTGCAATTGATGCCTCATTGTTTGTATTCACTTGTTCGCCATTGATTAAGGCTAATTGAGTGCTGCCGTTTGTAGCATAAGGCGTGTTTTTGTTTGTTTCAACTGATGTGGTTTCGTTTGTAGCAAATGATATGCTAGCCTTAGTTAACACTGGTTCGATACGATCTGCGGCATACTGAGGGTTGTTGTTTTCAAAAAATACTGTGCTTTCCCTTGTAGAAGGTAGTGCGTTCCTATTTAATGTAAATGATCTGCCTTCGATTGCTGCATCTGTAGTGCTTTCGTTTGAAACATATGTTGTATTTCCGTTTGTTGTAACTGTTCTATTATTCATGTCCAAAGATTTGCTGGCGTTTGATACATTTTCTGAGTAGACGTTTGTGGTATTAATTGCATTACTGTTGCTTTTTAGCGAAAGGTTTTCATTTGCCCTCACATTGAGAGTTGCTGAACTACTGTCATTTGTTACCACTTGTTTGCCGTCGTGAGTAATATTTTGTGTGCTACTTTTTGTTACAAATGACGCGTTACCATTTGTGGAATACGACGTATTATCATTTCTAGTATTCTGTGTGTTATCGTTTGTGAGTGATAATGTGCTTTCATTTACCGATGTAGCCATCTGTAGCTCATTTACCAATGTAGCCATCTGTAGCCTCTCATTTGTGACAGATGAAGAGTGAATGTCGGTATTATCCTGTTTATATCCTTTCCATTTTATAGCAACAGTTTTGGTAACATTGCTTTGAGATAAAACGTCGGTATTAGATGATTTTCTGTTTAAAGCAACTGTTTTGGTGACGTCGTTTTGAGATAAAACGTTAGTATTAGATGATTTTCTGTTTAAAGCAACTGTTTTGGTGACGTCGCTTTGAGATGACTCGCTTCCTTGTATTGCTATTGCTTTGCTTGAGTTTTTAGCAAGTAACATGCTTCTGTCCTCATCATTGTGTGAAACACGATTTACAGCGATTGAAGTGTCATCGTTGGTAACGTAAAAGTTATTGTTTTCTGTAGCAAGTAAAATGCTGTTGTTATTCGTGTTCGTTGTGTTTTCATCTGAAGAATATATTGTGCCACCTATCGTAGTAAAAGATGTCCTATTTGAAACAAATGCTTTCGCACGGTTTCTATCTGTGAGGGAATGATCACTTTCCTCAATTTCAAGTGAGTTCACCTCCGATATCCTACGACTCGATGATCCAGAACCCGACGCATGCGTAACAGAGGAATCCTCTAATATCCCCGAATCAGACCTCATTTCTGAATCCGTTCCACTGTGAACCAATACAAGCTTTGATCTTCTTGATTTTATAGAATTGTTCCTTGTATACTGAATTCCTGGTGTGGACATTGCTGACCGTAAATCTGTATCGTAATCGACATACCGCACGGCTCCATCCGGTCCAGGAGAACTATGGTTCGAATGCACGTAATGACCTCCACCTCCAGGTTCAACTTGCGATTCTTCATCCTGGTGAATTTCTTGCAAAGCATCTTCCGGCGATTCACATACCTCATTGTCTTCATCCGCCTCTCTCCCTCGGATCCTTATTATTATTTCATGAAATATATTCTTTCGTTTAAGGTATCGTCTGCACTGATAGCAACGGTATATGCAGGCGCAGCCTCCATACACTAGAACTAAGATGGGGATAACGACAAACATCGCCAGGTTATTGGACTCGGTGAAAACATCCTCTTCTGAGGAAGATGAAGAAGAGTTGGCATTGCGGCGAAGCCGATTTAAAACATCCCCAACATCCATGGCTTTTGTATGATGTACTTGTTCAGTAGCGGTTTTCACCCAATATGGTTTTTTTTTCAATGTTCACATGGATACCTGCAAAAAATATAACTTTAACTATACAATCAATCATAAACATTAAAAAAATTAATATATTTTTTGTTTACTTTATAAATGAAGATTTATTTTTTTTTAATTTTACATCAAAGAAACTATTTTTCGATTAACGTCATGGATTATCACTATTTGTATATTTTCTTTGAATCTAAATTCAATACATGTACACTAATAACCAAAAAAAATCAAATATTGTGATCCTACTAAATTATTAAATTTTTTCCGAATATAATCTTGGAAAATAGGAAACACGAAATTAAAATTTCGTTATGAAAGCAGGTTTTAATGTTGTTTGAAAGAAGGGTTAGGTTAGAGGGCCAATGAAGCGACGGATAAAATCTGAGAAATTATGTGATTAAGTGGAAACAGTACTTTTTTTAAGTCATTATGTTTTGATGTAAATTCATAAAAAAAAATCTTATATGATCATGAGTGAAGGATAAAATATCCCAATTCGATGAAAAGCACGAACAATAAAAGGATGAAACATATACTATCCTTTGTCTGGCATAGTTGCTAAAGGCATCAATTGTACATCCCTGTTCTCTTGCCATTTGTCTTTTAAAATGTAAAAATCAATATTTTGCAAAAAATTCCTGTCATCAAAACCCTTCATTTAATAGATATCATGTTTGCTTTTAAAAAAAAGCTAAACGATTGGCAATAATTGCAAAAAGCAAAACTTTTGTGTATTGTCATCGGAATCCATGAACGATTTCAATTACAATCCATTTTAATTAGATATTTTGTGTTTACATCTAGACGCACAGACAATTAAAAGGACGTATTAGATTTTCAGTATACATTAATATCACTACAACGATAATCTTAAAAAAAATTCACTCAAACAAGATGATTTAATTTTTTAAAGTTTTTTTTCGAATGTGCGTATATTAAAAAAACATTTATAAGGAGCAAACTTTTTCATCTTTTAGTTTAATTTTTTTGAATTGCCATTCAAAAAAGTGTTTTCTACTTCTATTAATTTCGGCAATTTTTACAAAAATTTTACTAATATGTTGCTCAGAGTGTCTTATATAAATAATATAATAAATATAAAAAATATATAAATGATAAGGTTGTTAAATATATTTCCCATTTCTGAAATAGAAAAAAGCATACAAATTTTTAGAGCATATTCTATTATTTTTTAAAATTTATTTATTTGTTTTAAATTTTCTTAATTCTTTTATCAAAACATTAACATCAATTATGTTCATAACCAATTTTTCGCTGTTTTAGGGATGTTTTGGCAATACAACTCATTAATTTATTTTGTGTGCAGCATTTTGTAATGAATCTTTTAAAAGAAAAGTTCTAGTTTCGAAATTGAACCTCAGCTCTAAATATATTTGGAATGAAAAGTACAATTAAGTCAAAAAGTAAAACCAGTCATATCCTTTACAACAGAATTTTCAATTGTTCTGGATTGCTAAAAATAAATCCTTCATAAAAAAAAACTTTAATTTTCAGCAGAAAGGTGTCATAGTTACACAGTTGATTGCTGTAAAATTATACAGTTTTGACGTATATTTATTATTCATAACATAATCAATTTCTTCTCATTTATCATTATACATTTCGATGAAAATCAGGGTGGAAATATGAGAAACGCTCAGATCGTTCGTGCCATTTGTCTTGCCCCAGCATTTTCTAATATAGAATGATTTAATTCTCCAGAAGAATTGAAGCCCATTTTCCATATTAATCCCTTTGAAAATCTTCTATTGTAGTAGTTGAGCTATTAAGCTTATGTGAAACAGCAGTGCAATAATAGAAACGTTTAAGGTGCAATAATGTTAAAGGTGAAAATTACAATGGCCGATGTTGACAAAAAAATAACAAATATAAAAAAGGGCTTAAAACAGACCCCTGGAAACTCCAGAGGTGGGATCAGGTGCCTCGGAGGAGTAGACATCCCCTGTTGACCGATCTCACCAGCCGCGAGCCTTGTATATTGATCAAGTAGGCGGAACCTTCCGTAGTCTAACTCAGTATAAAATATAGGCCTGACAATTGGCATGAACATTTCAGCCAAAAACCGACCAGATTATAGGTTACAAGTGCAGTCCAACTTATACTCAAAATTTCCTTTCTTCGGAAGATTTTCTTCAAGATCATATGTCCGTTTTGAATATTTATAATATCCCAAACAATCAAAATGAATCAGAATTACCATATCTATATTTGATTCAGAAACTTGATAAAATCCTTACAAACAGAGATACATAGCGGGTTCCAGTAAATATTCAACCAAGCCTCTTTCTTTACTCCTCATTGATATATTAATAGTAGTTATAGAGAAACTTCAAGAGTACTGTGCAACAATATATTCGAGAATTGGTGTAAATCAGATGTGGATACTTTAAAATTCCAAGGAAAATTTGAAATTACAAGATTTTACCAAAATTAACAGCTTAAAAACATGACTTTTGATCTTTACACACAACTATTCCACACGATAAAATAAAGTAAAGGTTTTTTTTATATAATTGACAGCTGCTTTTTCAATAAAAATGGAAGTCTTGAATTAACTTACCTTGCCATTAGTTATATGCAAAATTATTTTGTTAAAAAAACAGTCTGATTGTACACACAAGTACTCAGTTGTTGACATCAAAAAGATATTAGTGTTTCTGATTGACAATATCTATGTGGTTTTTGGAGACCAGGTCTTCAAACAATCTATTAGAATTCCCACGTTTTTAGAATTCCCCCGTTATTAGCAGACCTATTCTTGTATTCATATGAAGCAGAATTTGTCCAAAATCTTATACGTGAAAAGAAGAAAACACTTGTTGTGGTCTTCAACTCGACATTTAGATAGATCGACGATGTATTGTCAATTAACCAATGACTATTTCCATTCTTATGTTGATAGACTCGATACGATATATCCCGGTGAGCTTGAGACAAAAGATACCGAGTCTGACACATCTGTTTCATATTTGGATATTTTACTTGAAAAAGACGTTAATGGTTATCTAACAAACCAAGCTGTATGATAAAAGTGATGACTTTAACTTTTCAATTGTCATTTCCCTTTACTTATGCAGTAATATACCTTCTTCACCTGCATACGGAGTTTATATCTCTTAGTTGATTCGATACGCAAGAGCATGTATGCATACGTATGTATGATTTCTAAAACGCAAATTATTGACAAACAAGTTTATGAAACAAGAATATCAGTAGTCTCGGTTAAAGTCATCATTCTGTAAAAAATTGATTATACTTACAGTAAGTAATACTTACAGTAAGCTCAAGTAGCTAATAAATAGTTAGACATAAACACCATTAGCAAGTGATGGTGGAATATTACTACATAAGTTTCAATACTCTAAGAACACTAAAATGTAAAATGATTTAGTTCAATTCAATGAAAAACTTTAACCCTGAAAAATTAACGTAAAAATTAACGTGTTAAATGTGCGTTAAGAATTAATTTGTCACTTTTTTCCTCGCAATGTTTGTTTGAGTCATTTAACTTCGCAACGTCATCTAACGTCATTTGACGTCACAAACAGCTCTTACATCTATTAACCACGACAGTTTTGAAGGGCGCTAAATTCACATTTGAGATTAACGAAATAAGCAATTATGAAAAAGGAAAATTAGGAAATGTAAATATAAGCCGCTAACGCGCAGTATTCAATTTGTCGCACCGCCAGGTGTGTTATAGGACCGAAGACATCCTTAAATAAACAATATATCTTTCAGTTTAAGAGAAAGGAAATAATTTTGCATGAAGTATAGTGGTATTTATATAAGAAATATACCCTTAATATAAATGAATTGCAAATAGGAATATTAAATAGATATAAATCTTTTGCTTACAATAAGATTGTTGGTTTTAGTTTTTTTTTTTTTAAAGACTGAAGAGCATTATAAAAGGCTAACCTATAAAAAAAATCACCAATTAATTACAGGGAATATCATTGTGACATTAGCTTTCAAAATAGTCTGATGAAAAGATATCCTTTAAAAATGCTCTTTCACAGAAAAAAAATGTTTTGGATGTTTTTTGTTTTTTTTTTTACTGTTTGCTGTATTTTTACCCATATATTATTGCTATACAGTATTTACAGTAGGTTATTTCCTTAAAAACTATAATTTTCTTAATTTACCAAAATCTCCTAATTATCTGAAATATTGCCGACTAGGCATTCAACAATAATAGTCAATCATTTCTTTAATTTGTAGTGAGAATGGATTTTTACAAACAAAGGTTCTATCATATGGAAATAAGAATAAACTTCATTACTATTCATCATTTTAGAATCGTAGAATATTTGAAATGGTATAGTTCGAACAAATAACAGCAGTGAATATTTCAAAAATATACAACGATATACTTGTACTTACATATTCTTATACGTGCGAAAAAGCATGTTGGCAATGCATCCTATCATTGTCGATAAACTGAACACATTATATTCAAGACCTAGAACAGGCTCCAAACTTTTTAAAAGACGTTAACATCCATCAGGAATAGATCTTGCTAAAGAAAACAAACAGCTTTGCATTAAGTCTTCATCAGATCGGGAAAGTTTGTACAGGATAACTTTAGCAAATTAACACGATGCCTTGGCGGTACATTGTTTGTCTACAATACAAATTTGACGTCATGCCATTATCTGCATTTCATTTTGAATATGGAACGGCCCCCAGGATATTCCAATAGATACAAATTGATTTATATTTTTTCGATGAAATGCGTGCTTCCTAAATTGGAAGCGTTTTTCTCTAGAATTTCAAACAACTGTTGGGACTAGTAATCTACCGTAAGTTAATGTGATGCTATTGATTCTTAAATTGTTTTAATTTTTTTTAATTTACCACTTCAAACACATCATGACAAACTACAACATCTACACAACTTGAAAACATATGAATGTTTGTAAATGAATTCAAAAAAACTTGTAAGAGACAAAGTATACAGTTTATAATTTATCTGACATACACAGGGATATGAAA